AAAAAATTGTTTTTTGAAAATTGTTTTTCGGAATTTTTTGAAATTTCAAAATTTCTCAAATTTCCTAAGATCTCAACCAGACATATTTTATATCATTTTGAAGCTCTTTTTGCGCTCTACAATATACTTTTTGAATTGTTCAAAAATTCCGATTTTCCGCGGAGTCATGACTCTTTTTCCCGGGCTCTTCCGCATAGGGCGAGAGAGTGAGAGACGCAGACATCGCTTGTCGCTCTCCGGTGTTAAAAAACGACAGAAACTCGAATTTCTAGCTTATTTTTCATGGGAATCTACATAAAAATCCCAATTCAAGGTTTTTAGAAGATATAAAAAATTTAAAAAAATTCGAAAAAAAATTTTTTTTTTTGGAATTTTTGAAATTTCAAAAATTCTCGAATTTCCCAAATTTGTAACTTTCCAAATTTTCATATCATTTTGAAGCCCTTTTTTGCGCTCTACATGTTGCTTTTTGAATTTTCCGAAAATTCCAAATTTTCGCAGAGTTATGGCTCTTTTTCCCGGGCTCTTCCGCATAGGGCGAGAGAGTGAGAGACGCAGACATCGCTTGTCACTCTCCGGTGTTAAAAAACGACAGAAACTCGAATTTCTAGCTTATTTTTCATGGGAATCTACATAAAAATCGCAATTCAAGGTTTTTAGAAGATATAAAAAACATAACAAAATTCGAAAAAAAAAATTTTTTTTTTGGAATTTATGAATTTTCGAAATTTCTCAAATATCCCAAAATCGTAGCTTTTCGTGTTTTATATCATTTTGTAGCCTTTTCAAAGCTTCATCCCATACTTTTCGAATTGTTCAAAAATTCCGATTTTCCGCCGAGTTATGGCTCTTTATACCGGGCTCCTCCTCAGAGGGCAAGAGAGTGAGAGACGCAGACATCGCTAATCACTTTCCGGTGTTAAAAATCGCCAGAAACTCGACTTTCTAGCCGATTTTTCATGAAAATTCACAGATAATTTGAAATTTATTCTTTTTAAAAGATACAAAAAATATAAAAAATTCGAAAAAAAAAAATTTTTTTCTTGGAATTTTTGAAATTTCAACATTTCTCGAAGTTCCCAAATTTGTAACTTTCCATATTTTATATCATTTTGAAGCCCTTTTTTGCGCTCTACATGTTGCGTTTTGAATTTTCCAAAAATTCCACATTTTCGCAGAGTTATGGCTCTTTTCCCGAACTCCTCCGCATAGGACGAGAGAGTGAGAGACGCGGACAGAAGTGTGCACATTTTTACCAAAAATCACTTTCCGGTGTTAAAAAACGCCAGAAACTCGAATTTCTAGCTTATTTCTCACGAAAAATTCGCTTAAAATATGAAAAAAAAAAAGGGAAAACATTACCGGATGACCGTCACCACAAAACGAGGAAAGCATCTAAATTCTGTGTGTGTGTGTCGCTCGGAATTTTTAGTGCTGAAAATTGGTTTTTAAGGGAAAAAAGCTGGAAAAATTGCAAAAAATCGAGAATTCACTATAGAAAATCACTTTTAAATAGGAGCATTTTTTGGTAAAAAATTGAAAAAAAATTGTTTTTTTTTGAAAAAACAAAGAAGACGTTGTCATGGCAATCAGGAAGCACAAAATATGATAAACATTGATTTTTTTTGCGTATTTTTTATATGAAAAAAAAATCAAAAAAAGTGATTTGGTGACAATTTTTTCCGGGATTATGCAAATTTTCCAGAGTGTACCAGGCACAATACGCCCTCCCGCCTTTCGGAAATTTCCAGTTTTGTCATCATTTTCAAGTTGAACCGTGTTTTTTTTTTGCTTTTTGATAAGGGAAAAGCCTAAAAGTTGCGAAAAAAATGGTTGAAAAATTCAAAATTTAGGTGCTTGCCGCCAGTTTTCGCGCCAAGCTGTGCGCTTTCGCGTGACGGTGTTTGCGGAATTTGCACTGAGAATGACGACAGAGTTTTTTCAGATATTTCTTTTGCCGGGAAATGAAGATTTTCTCGGTTTTTTTCATAGAAAAAGATGGATTTTTCAAAAAAAAAAAAAGAATTCAAAATTCAAAAATTCGAGTTTTTAATGCCTAAAAATTGCAAAAAATAGTGTGGAAACACTGAAAATCTTGAAGAAAATAGGAAAATCAA